GAGGCCCTGGGCGCGGAGGAGGAGGCCGCCGCCCAGGAACAGGACGCCGCAGAGCACGAGCAGCGACAGCACGACCAGCACCGCCGCCAGCACGACGCGCGGCGCCTCGGGGGACTCCGGCGGCGGCACCCCCGACTGGTTGCAGCAGGAGCTCAGCCAGGTGGCCGGGGCCCCAGCGCCCGCCTGGGAGCCGTTCATGCTACGGCGCGGCTGGCTGCCCAGATGTGCGCGGGAGGGCCAGATGTGCGGGAGCCCCAGCGGGCGGGCCTCGGCTGCATAGGGGAGGGGCCCGAGGGGCGGATCCCAGCCGCTGTTGGCTCCCACCCTGCGCGCAGAGCTCCTCCAGCGGGGACTATGGCCCAGACTCCCGGGGCCGGGGTATTTCTACCACACCCACGCGTGGGAATCCAGCCCGTGCACCCAACCAGCCAAAGCCAGAGTCCAGTCCCCAAGGCTTTCCCTCTCCCGTGGCAAAGCAAGTCAAGAGACAGCACCTCCCTCAGAACTGAAAAAATCTTCCGGACCCCACCCCAGGTGCTGGTGGTGGGGTGCCACCCCACTAAACAGGACACGAGACAAGCAAGCATTCCCGGGCTGTCCCTGAGCCAAAGCTCAATACCGCCAGGCGGCCCGGGTGGCCACTGGAACAGGAGGCAAATGAGCAGCCTCCAGGACCTGAGGGGCACGGATCCTTACTCCTCCATCGTCCCTTCTGGGAGCCTCTTGGAGTTGGACAAGCAGGCCAGTGCCTCCTTGGGCCCACAGCAAGGAGAGACGGAGGGCAGGGGAACTTCAAGTCCTATCCCCATTCCTCTGCTCAGGCCCCAGAGGTCAAGTTACCTACTGATGAGAAAGCAGATTTGAGTCACCAGGGCTCCTGTTTCGGCCTTGAGTAAATCAGTCCCCTACCTCTGGGAAATCATAATGCCAAAAGGAATGGAAAGGTTACTGTCCTGTCCACCAAGGGGAGCTCACTGCCTGCAGGGTGTCCCACAGCCAACCTGGGGTCGGAGGTAGAGCAGAGTCTGGCTGCAGTAAAGTAGAAAGTCTCAAAAAGCTGGGATGGAGGGAAGACCCTCCTGCTCAGGTCTCCTGAAAGACAGCAACCTGGAGCTCTTTTTTTAAAAACTAAGTCACGGCCAACAAACAACTAACTCTATCAGCCAACCAACCACTCAGAAGGGATTAGCTGATGGCTAGCTAGGAGGAAAAGAAGATCCCAGGCTGCAGCAGGCCAGGTAGGAATTACACACCATCAAGGACCTGCTAGGAAACAGCCTTCCCCATCTCCAAAGCCTTAAGAACCTCCTGAGTTCTCCCAATGCCCCAGAGATCAAGGGCAAGACTTCACAAGATCTGTTGTGAAGTATCACAGGGCCAAGGTGGCCTGGAATGGGAAAAATGTGTGAACACTTCCTGCCTACGCTGGCTACCTACCTGCTCCAGGACCACGGGCAAGACCCCCCCACCCCACCGCTCCATTTAGCCTGGTACAACTGCCCGCATACAACCCAAAAGTATAAAATATAGAATAAATCAGAAGTACACAAGAAGGAGTTCACGGATTTTGAGTATGCTGGTGTAGAAATGAGTGTGTTAACAAAGCACTGTCCTAACTACCAGCAAGGGCCAGCCTGACCTGGAAGAAGTGTCATCAGACACCTGTCTCAAGTTGGCCAGTCTCTCTCCAGAGAAGGAAACCCCCAGTTAAATGAGCTTTCTGGTGCACGCGGGGACCTGGATGTGCTCTATGAAGATACTCTTTGAGGCCATCATGAAACCCGACCAGATAATATAAAAGGCAGGGATATCACAGCTTCCTTAGGGAGAAGAAACAGCAATCATATCCAAAAGCAACAGTTCCTGATCTGTGTCGTCTTTCACAGGCTGACCACGGTGACACCTGGGTGGTTAACACCTGCTTATGTGAATGTCCAACAAAGTACCAAATTGATCAGTGTTAATCTATCCCCTCCCGCCACTCCCTTCATGTTGGAATAATGCCCTTAACACACACCTGTATCCTCACAGGTCTGCCAGGGAGTGTTAAATGTTTCAGGGCAGAACACAAGCTAACGGAGAGATGGCTCAACCCAAATACATTCTCAACTTTATTCACCATCCTAGCTATGGCTCTTCCATACAGTGGAGGAAGGGGGACCCCCACAGGGGTGCAGAGAGACAGTGAAGGCCAGACTTGACCATTAGCAAAGGTTAAAGAGATGACCAAAGACTGGCAGCCACAAAACAAGGAAGCCAGGGGTGGCCATTCCAAGTCTCATCAAGAACCCGGAGCACGTTCCAGAGCCCCAAGGGCCCCACAGTACGATCCCCGGAAGCCAAGGTCTACAAGCCATCCAGGAGAACCCGCGGCCCCAGTTAAGGCCTAGAGGGCAAGGGTATCTTTGATAAGCCTGCGCATGGTGGTGGTGACCGAGGTGCCCAGGGCATCAGTGATCTGGAAGGAAATCTTGTAGAGGTAGGGCTGCACATCCCGCAAGCCTGTGTCAAACACGTTGTCCACCTCCGACTGCGTGGGCATCTTGGGCAGGTACTCGTGCCGGTTCATCACCTCCACAATGTTGATGACCTTCTCGCAGAGCTTCTCGCCCACCTTCTCCCGGCAGATCTGCCGCTCCTGCTCTGTGGCCAGGGCAACCACGTGCACCTTCACCGTCCACACTTCCCAGGGGATGCACTCGTCCGAGAAAGGCCAGCGAGACTTCTTCTTCTGGTAGAACTCCAGGGACATCTGCCCCAGCCCATCACCCCCAGAGTTGCGCAGCGCATCCTGGGGAAGGAGGGGTAACAGATGAGCAGGCCGAGACCTTGGAGGGGCTCTCGCCCTGTAAGCGCCTCCTTCCTACACCCCAGGGTAAAAATTAGGCTCTCCGAGCTTTACTAGTCGTTCAGGGAGGGCAGGGAATGAAACCCACAGGGGTCAAAGGATTCGTGTGCAGTGACACAGCAAACTGCCAGCCTAAACTTGAGTGTTCCTAGCAAACCAACAAAATCTGTCTCTAAAGAAAAGCAGAAGAGGGGATTAAAGCCCAATGATCCTTACTTAGAAAAAAGGAAACCAAGAGGGGCACCTGGGTGGCTCAGTCGGTTAAGCATCTGCCTTTGGGATTGAGCCAAAGGGGGGGGGATGTGCAAGGGGGGGTGCGGGGGGGTCCCTGCTCAGGGGGGAGTCAGCTTCTCCCTCTGCCCCTCCCCCACTTCTCTCTCTCTCTGTCACAAATAAATAAATAAAATCTTAAAAAAAGAAAAAAAGGAAACCAAGAAACAGAAGGGGGGAGGGAAGGACAGACCAGACCTGGCTTCTCCCTCTTCTCCTCTGAGAAGCAAATGAGACCATCTCATCCAGTAATTCTGCCTATCCCCTACCTCCAGGGGGTGTGGTGGCCCTACACTCCTAGGGCGGCTGGGACCCTGAAGCCCCTTTCCATCTGAGTTAAGACCAACTCGGAGGGTAAGGATGCTTCCCTCAAGTCCTAAAACGGCCATCAAGGAGTAATTCTCGCCTTTGTGGACAAAGCAAGGTCACGGGACCCTGACTGGTAGTCATAATGGCTAACACTTCTCTAGCTTCCTGTGGTGCAGGGCTGGTCCAAGCACTTGCCATACTGGACTCATTTAATCCTGAGTGCCTATGCCTATGAGGCAGGTATGATTATCATTCCAATTTTACATACAGGGAAACTGAGGGCCAGAGAGGTGGAGTCACTTGCCCAACGTCACACCTTGTTGGGTGGTAGAGCCTGGCTCCAGAATCCACGCTCTTAACCATTATACGCCACGTGCCTCTTACAGGTGTGTAGAGGACAGACGGCTGACTACCACAGCCTCCCTTGAAGAGGGACTGGGGAGTGCGAGTGGGGGAACACTGGGCCCTGGGGGAGGGTCCACCTCCTGCCATGAGCACATGGCGCCCAGCACCATGTAGGCGCTCTCCAAATGTCTGTGGAATGGAAGTCAGACAGACCACCCTCCTCCTCTCACCTCCTTAAAAAAAGTTCCCTCTTACTCGAAAATTCAAAATAGCCACTCACTGAAATAGTGAAACACTGCAACCCTGAATTAAAACAAATTCCCACTGCCTGAGGTGACCAACAGTAGCAGCCCGCTGTGTCCCTGCCACCTTCCTCCCCGCCCCCACAGGTACACACAAACACATGCCACACTGCGACGCCCCACTGGACGGCAAGCACCTGAGCCCTGCAAGCCTCCCTCCCCGGGAATTTCCCAGGGGAAAGGAATTTCCTGAAGGGGAAAGTGGAAGCAGAGAGGAGTCAGGAGGGAGGGAGAGGAGAGCTGAAGAGTCAGACAGAAGGTCCAGCCCAGAGGTGGGGGGCTATAAGCACCCAAGGGAACCCGATGTCCATGCCGCAGGGGCTGCCTGCTCTCCTTCCCTGGGTATTTTTACCAACCCCTGCCCCTGCCCCTGCCCCAAGCCCTTCTCCCCGCAAGGAGCGCTGAACACGCCTGTTCCTTAGACCGTGGAAGAACCTGACAGAAACACTCAGGAACGGTAAGCTGGTCCAAGAGCAAGCCAGGGTGGAGGGGCACTCGAGGTCCACCTGCCGCCCGCTGCGCCACCTTGAATTCCCTACCTTGAATTCCCCGACAACTTTGCGCAGGGCACGGTCCAGCTCCTCAGAGGAGACCCGCACGTAGGTGAAGTCGATGAAGTCACAGTCCACGTCCTGGGTGCCCACGGTGCCAATGGAGTAGGTGCCCTCCTTCTTGTAGTGGAACTTGCCCGTGCTACGATGCAGGAGCACCGTGTGCAGCACGGCCAGCATGGCCTCCTCTACCTGCCGCCCCTCCACCGACACCTCCAGCACCTCCGAGCGACAGTTCATCCTGCAGCCAGGAGCCCGCACCCGAGGGCGGGGTAAGAATAAACACGGGGGAGCTTCACCCCAGCCAGGGGCCACCCTGCAAGAGCAGCCAGGTCAGCGAGCTGACACCTTCTGAATGATCTGCATGTTACCTGTCCACTTCCCTCCTGGCGCCGCCAGCCTCTGCCTCCGTGGCCCTTCTCTGCGTTTTGACAGCACTGCTACCAGGAAGACTCTCGGGATCAGAAAGGGAGAGCTTCAAAGTTACCAGCCCAACCAACCAGCCAGGGCTTGACCTCAGGACAGCATCCAGTGCAGTGGCCCGCGAAAGCTCCCTGTGCGGCACCTGCCAGGCACTGGTCGCTCAAGGCGAGCACGGCCCCTGCTCCTGAGCGGCCTTGGGACTGGACGAGAGAAAGGCAGGTGAAGGCCACCGGACTGGCCAGGGTACAAGGCGGGAGTAAAAAGGAAAGGAAGATGGGCGTCTGGCTGCCTGGGACCCTGAATGCCCAGGTTAAGGCATTTGGACCCTGTGCTGAGGGCAGTGAAGAGTCAATGCATCACTGTGCCAAGATCAGATCTGTGCATCAGAAAGTTAACTGGATAAAAGGCAAAGGATTGCTCTTCACTATTTTGTGGCCAGAAACTGCTCTGAGAAATCAATAAAAACTCTGAAGACTGAGGGGCGCCTGGGGGGCTCAGTCAGTTGAGCGTCTGCCTTCGGCTCAAGGCATGATCTCAGGGTCCTGGGATGGAGCCCCTCGGTGGGCTCTCTTCTCCCTCTCCCTCTGTTCCACTCCACTGCTCATGGTTTCTCTCTCTCAAATAAATAAATAAATCTTAAAAAAAAAATGAAGACTGGGCTTTGACACCTGACTGACACACGCACACACCCCCAATCTCACCTAGTGCCAGGGCCATCCACAGGCTCCAGGATAAAAACTCAGATTTAAGGCAGAAAGGCTTGGCAAGAAGACCACTTAGAGCCCTGACAGTAGGGACAGTTACAGGGGCAGCGCAATGGGATGTGAGGGAGTGAAGTGCGAAGTGTGGACGGTTTCACATCCAACAGTCCTGGGTCGAACCCCAGCTCTCCTATATCTTGCTCTGTGACCTCAAGCAAATCACTGTGTTTTATCTGTAAATTTGGATTCTTGTGAGGATCAAATAAAATCGCCTACGTAAAACACAGCAGAATAGTGGTTAAAAACAGCAACTCTAAAGCCAGACAGCATGGGTTGGGACCCCAGCTCTGCCACTCGCTCATGGTGTGACCTTGGGCAAGCTACTTAACTCCTATGTGCCTCAGTTTCCTGAATCTATATAAAGGGGATCTATAAAAGCTACCCTGGAAGGACCGTCCCAGGGAGTGGATGAGTTAGCACCTGTGAAGCGCTTAAAGCAGTACCTGGCCAGTTGTAAATACTAAGTATCAGCCACTATAATTCATTATGATATCACTGTTGCCGAGAGAGGACACAGGCTATGATACAACACAGGTGGAGCAAGTGGGAAGGCAAGAACAGACTTGCAAACCAGACTTGGTAAGTAGCTGAACATGAGCCCCAAAGGAGAAGGAACAGTCACATTTCTTGCTGAGCGTTCAGCTTACAAACCTGCCCTGACGGGGAACTCACCACCTCTCACGGCAGACCTTTCCATCTTTAGACAGCTCTACTCCTCAGGTATTCCTTCTGCAGAGGGAATCTGCCCCTCAGTGCTTCAAACCCCTGGTCACAGTTTGGGTATCAGGAGCCACACAGAATAAGTCTCACCCCTTTTCCACTAATGTGCCTTTCTGATATCCGGACACAACTCTTCCATCACCCCTCACCCCTACCACAGGTTAAAGGTCCCGAGTCCCCATACCCGTGCTAGCTGGACATCACATCTTATCTGGCAGCTCTCCTCTGTGTATTTCAGTTTGTCTCATCCCCATTAAAGAGCAGTGCTCAGCAGTGAACACGAGGCAGTCTGTGGACAGCTCAGAGATCACGCTGGCTCTGCCTCTGGCTCAGCTACCAGCGCGAGTCTACCTGTCCTAGCAGCCATCTCTTCACGGGTGTTACCCTGTCTTAGCTCTCCCACTAGACAGTTCCTTGAGGGCAGGGCTGGACCCTACTCATCACTGGAAACTCGGTGCCTGGAACCTAGTACAAAGTAACTGCTCAAATCACCCTGACCGGGAGCCTCCAGGTCCTTCCAAAGGTTGCTGGATTGGTTTCTCCTACACTCAGGAGGAGTCGGACTCTCCCACTCGTTTCTGCCCTCTAGTATTTTCCCTTCAACAGCCTCCCATCTAGAGGCTCCCAGCTCTGGCCCAGCTCCCCCTTCTTCCACCACTTCCCCCTCTGGAGTCCCCCACAAACGTTCACCCAGGCCACTTCTTTCTTTTCCCCACGCCCAGGCTCTTCTCTCATTATTGAACAGTTTTAGGCAACACTCCTCCAAGAAGTCGGTAGTGACCAATCAACCCCAGCCTCCTTCCCACAGCAAGCCACCTCTGGTCCGTGATGAGCTTGTCTGTCCCCTTGCCCTCACCCCCGCCTCCGGTGAGGAGGGAGTCTTCTCGAGCAAGGCCTAGGAAGTCTCATTCCTCCTTTCCCCCCAAGGCCCAGGTCTGTAGAGCACAGAGCCAGGTTGGAGCCCAGGGCATCCCCATGCCCACTTACGCGTACAGGCTCGAGCGCGGGTCCCTCAGGCTCGGACCATGCCCTTGCTCCTCCGCACGCGCAGGTGCCCCCTCCGCAGGTGCGCCTCGACGTCCACGCCGGCGACTGAGCGCAAGACAGCCTAAAAGCAAAAACAGAAGGCCCAGCGTCAAGACACTGGCGGGCCCAGGAAGGACCTTCCGCCCGGGTCCCGTGTCTCCCACCGCCACCACGCGCGACCCGCCGAAGTCCAGGGTCCAGGGGAGGAGCAGCCTCCTGAGGTCCCGGGAGGTGCGGGTGGGGGAGCCTCCCCGCGCCCAGCCTGGCCGCGCTCGGGAGTTCGAGGCGCGCCGTCCCTCCCGCCGGCCCGGGGAGTGCCCGCGCTTGCACAGGGGGCGGGGGCAGACGGTTGGGTGGAACAGCCCCCCACCTCCCGAGCCCGCGTCCCAGACCCGACGGCCGCGCAGCCGCGCTCCCGCGGGC